AAACCACTTGGTCTTAAATGTCCCTACAGGCTGTTGTACAATAATAATCACATTAAGCAACCAGAACAACAGAACTTCCAGCTAGAATAAGGATCCAAATCACACACTACAGATGTTAAAAATGGATTCATAACCAATTTTCATGATCATAATACAGGTCCTTCTCAAAATATTAGCATATTGTGATAAAGTTAATTATTTTCCATAATGTAACGATAAAACTTAAACATTCATATATTTTAGATTCATTGCACACTAACTGAAATATTTCAGGTCTTTTATTGTCTTAATATGTATTTTTGTCCGCAAAGAAAAATACTTTTTTTCAGAAACACAATATGGAATAGTTAAAAATAATTGCACAAAGAGTTGATTTGAAAAATGCAAACTGTAAAACAAAAAAAATAATAAAGAAGGGATTCTTTGATGTATTTATGGTCTAAACACTGAGTAAAAACACAGCTCCAACTGTGTGTCAATAGGGCCCCTATTTCAGCATTTCTGCTTCCCTATCTAATCAGTTATGAAATTGTGGCTTTTAATTTTATGCTCTAAAAGTAGGAGCTACAGTTTATCGTTTTATAATACTTCATTTAGAGAATTATAGTATGTATTTCTCTGGTTTTATGACAGCAAGGTTAATTTGTATCTTTAAATTGTCCCAAAAGGTTGTGTGTCCATGTGTTGCCCTGTGATGGACTGGTCACCTGTACCCCACCTTTCACCCAACCCTTAGCAAAAAGTAGTTTATTCAAGTATACTAAAAGTGCACTAATTTCATACTTAAAATCAGGCATTGCACTTAGAGTTTACTTATTCTAAACTATATTTCATATACTTAACAATAGTTTAGTCAAGTGTACTTGACTTACACTGAGAAGTATAGTAGCCTAAACTTAAAAATGACCCAATTTAGTATGCCTCAAGTATACTACTTTATGCTAAGAGAAAGTCTGCTGGGGGAGGCTCCAGCCCATCCAGACATTGATGGCCAATGGATGTTTTATTTGGTTACTCTTACAAAGCCAACATTTTAACCAATTCTTAGTGGAACAGAAACTAACCAAACTCAAATGTATACATTGCAAAAACAAAATGAAATAAACACCTTTATCATTTGACTCTATTTTTAAAACTGCTTATAAGATATTGGTTATTATAGTTCGAAACAAAAACAAACATTTTAGAATGGGTAATTGCTATATTTGTTTATTTCTTTAAAAGCGTTTCTTTTACTTAAAGCTGGGAATCGACAGCACCAACTTTAGCTGTTTGTCGATGTCCCTCCCAGGTCAGAATTTTTTTTTTCCCTTACATCAGTCATGGGGAGATAAATGTAACAGAAATCAACAGAGTTCCAGGGCCTCCAGGGATGAGAGGTTTAACTCAACTCATTCTTTCTCTGACTGGAGCTCTCCCACTTTTCTTTCTCAAGGTGAATCTGCTTAACTTCCTGCTAAAGGTTTGTTTGGGTGAACTGACCCTTTAAGATAAACACAGCTGAGCCTGATTGGAGCCGTCAGAGTGTTTGGAGTTAGACAGACTGTGGGATCTGGTGGGTCAGTGGGTAAATGTAGGACCTGTACCTTCCAGAACAAACTGACCTGAACTGAATGATCCGGTCCTCACTGTACATACATTTTAAAGCACCAAGTCTATGTCCAAAATACAGTTCATACTTTAGAGGATTTCAGATGTTTTCTCTTTCTGTGTGTTTTATTAAGACACAGATATAAATCCATGAGAGACAAAACTACTGAGTTAAAAATTAACTGTCAACACTGGAGGTGCTTTGAAAAGTCCACTGAAACAGAGCTGACTGAAAGCTTTAGTTCTTTGCAAACACTACCACCTAGCGTCCAAGACTAGCTACTACAGACAGAGCAGTGATTAAAGCAACTAGAACAGCTTTAATGTTTGCATTTTTTCCCCTGTACACAATGATACTCAAATCCAAACTATTTTTACCAACAGAAAGCAAAATCTTAATTAGGTCATTTTAAAATTATGGTTTTGATTTAAGGGATTAAGGAGGTCTTTGAAGTACCAACCTGTCCCTCTATTTAAAAAAGGGACTGGAAGGTGTGTTCCAGCTACAGAGGAATCACACTCTTAAGCCTCCCTGGTAAGGTCTATTCCTGGGTTCTAGAAAGAAGGGTCTCTCGGATAGTTGAATCTTGGATTCAAGAGGAGCAGTGTGGTTTTTGTCCTGGCCATGTAACACTGGATCAGCTCTACACCCTCAGCAGGATGTTGGAGGGTGCATGGGAGTTTGCCCAACCAGTCTACATGTGTTTTGTGGATCTGGAGAAGGCATTCGACCATGTCCCTTGGGGGAGCCTGTGGGGGGTACTCCGGGAGTATGGAGTACCAGGCCCTTTAATAAGGGCAGTTAGTCTCTGTATGACCAGATCATCATCCAAACCAACCAGGCCATGTGTTAGAAAGTAATCTACAGACATTGAAACATTTTTTGAGTGCAAGTCACCATTTTTTGAATTTCCATGGCCAAGCCCTAAACAGTTCTCTGTTCCTTGATATTACAGTTGGATTCTTTTTGTGCTTCTATGCTCATGGTTTTCCAGTTTTTCATGTGTTCATTTTTACCTTGAGTCAGTTTTCTTTAGTAGATTTTGACCTTACAGCTCCATTTAGCTCCATGTTTGTGCTCCACTCTCTGCTCCTGCCTCCTAATCATCCTCATCCATTCCACCTGCTTTATTAGTTTCTAGCTGCAGCAGACAATAGCCTACTCTAACAGGTCTGTTTCATTCAGTCCTCACAGGTTTTTTAGTCACCACCAGGCCTGTCACATTTTCTTTGTCTGTTTCTGAAACACCATACTTGGCTCGAAGCTTGTAAATTCACTTATTAAAACTTTTCACCATGGTTCCTCTGTCTACACTTCGGTTCACTCCAAGAACCATTAATTCTCTGACAGTTAGTGGCTTTCATCAGTCAGGAAAGGGTTGCATAACCAAAGATTAGAGGCTTGTCAAGATGCATTCAGACCTAACGCGGTGTCCGTAGCGATGGTGTTGGATCTACATGGTACACCTATGCAAACTGATGGCTGTCACCACTCCACTCTCACCTGGTGCTACTTGATAGATCTGGGGTGCTGTCAAACAGCAGGGCCCACATAGAGAGAGTGGTGAAGTAGAAAAGAACGTTTCCATTGTGTCACTATGGAGCTAGAAGGGTCTCAGTATTCACAAACTCACAAAGGTGATCCACACATGCACAGGACAAAATCCACACATGCACAGTATATTTATATATATATATATACATGATTTGTCTTAGTTTCAAAACAATGATAATGTAGATATGAAAGGATTTCACTATTTTATTGTTGATATTAAAACATCTAACACATCTTGTGACATGTCGAGGAGGAAGAATAGACTGACTGCTTCGTGAAGCACCCAGTCATTTGCAGAGAGGGATAGGAAAAAGAAGGAGCCGTCTATGAAGGACTATAAGTGTTTTGGTGGAATCGATGTTTTTGACCAGATAATTTGATAATTTTCTTCATGTAGAAAAAGCAGGTGGTTGATCTGTAAAATGCTATATCCCTTTGTGACTTGGTGGACAATGCTGTAATAAACAGCTACCTGTTTTCATAAGGAGCTGTGTGGCCGACTGGATCAGCAGCAGCTGCTGATGACCCACCAGACTTTCAGGAGCAGTCCCCAAGTAGCAGAGGCCTGTTGGCACATCAGGATGCATTAAATGCAGGGTGTTTTGGAAATGAACTCTGTTCATGTGTGAGGGGTGTAAAATCCCTCTGTGAGTGATAGTGGGCAGAAAATGTCAAACGTTCAATAACTGCTCCTCAGATCAGATCTAGAACTAATCTTTACTCAGTGTCTGAAGTTCCTGTATGTTAAATGATTTATCATAGATAGGCTCAGGTTGTTCCTGTCATTTTTTTTGTCTTCCGCTTTTGTATCTTGATAAAGAATATTATCTCAATTTGTGTTTATCGGTTATAAAGTTTCAATATAGGAAAAAACAGATGATATTTTTTGTTGTTCATAACACTTTTTATTGTTTGAACATTGTCTTCTGAACCTTTCAGTGTGTTTTTTATTTGTCTGGTTAACTTCAAAGATTTGATTACATTTCATTTTGTAAATATGTATTTTTTTTCTCAAATTGGTCAGAATATTAAATCATTTTGGTCTCTCGTTAGAAAAGTTGTATTCTAAATTATTTTCATTTTTCTGTTGATTAATTCCACGTCTTAAGAATTGACTTAGTTAAAATAGACTTATTTTAGATAAATTAGTAGCTTAAGGGTTGTAATGATGTCTTTCATATTGAAATGCTCTTAAAAATGGCTCTACAGCATGTCAAAAAGTAAAAATGTGCCGTGGCAAATTTGCGTCATAAAGGATTAAATTCATTTGGAGCAACACGTTGTGATTAAATGCCTAACAGACAATCCTCCAAATAGGGTTTATTTCAAGGCCTAGTTAAAGTCCAGCAGTTGGCTCATTGGACACATAGAGTTATCTTCACCATGAACTCTGATAGCATCAACAAGTGCATCCAGCAGTCCAACAGGTTCCAGGATGGCAAGGATGCGACCACCTGCTGGTGGCGCTCGAATTCAATAAAACCGAGGGAGACCAGATGAAGTGAGTTTAGTAAAACCTGCACGAAAAAAAATGCGCATTCCCAATGAGCTTTTCAGCGCCTGAATATTTGCGCCAGAAAAAAAATAATCTGCACACAACAGAAAACAGCAGGAAAAAACTCTTCCTTTTCTGTTGACAGATTTAAAAATGAAGTCCTTATCTTGATCATGAGAATTATGTTCACACTGAGTAAAATAAATTCACATCATTAGGTCAGTTTGACTGCTTTGACCATTTTGCAAACATAACTTTTATGAAATTAAAACCCCAAAGCCTTACAACATCAGTACAAAGATTTATATAGATTCCACTTCCTCATGTGGTAAATTTTTTTGATTGTGCTGCTGCACAGTTTGCCGCGCGTGCACGTACAATCGGGATCCGAGTGCGCGCAGCGGAGGACAGCCGAACGGTGAAGCAGGCACAAGCCGCCGAGCGCGCAGGGAGAGCCGCAAACAGAGACTGCGAGGAGCGCAGAGGGAGCGTCAGAACTTCAGTGCACACGGTAAGAAGCTCGCATGTTGCTTCATGGTCGTGATTATGTATCCATAAGGAAGATCCTACATGGGTCTACTGTATTTTTAAGCTTTTGTCATGTTTTTTTCACGTGTCCTTCTGATGAGGAAGACGCACAGTGCGCTTCTTTCATGGAAGCATGTCAGACAATAGATGCATGAGATGTGATGACATAAAGTCAAAGAAAATATCTGGAAATGTTTCTGAAATTTCAAACATTGAGTTTAAAATTTCCTAAATGTGCACGCGCCTAGAAAAGGGGTGTGTCGGTCTGAAGTAACGCGCCTAGACACCGGTTGTGGATTTTTCTACTTTTATTGATGGGAATGCGCCTCCACGCGCTCCATTTATGCTCCTTTAAAAAAAAAAAAAATTATTGAATTAAAGTTCTTTATTGTTCCACAGATTATAATTCCTTAGGTTGCTGAAATTAGATTAGGAGGTGGATGCAGTCTGGATTTCCACCCAGAAATAAAGCCCGTCCTCAGTGTCTTGTCTACATGTTTCTCTCACTCTGCGTCCGTAATCGCGTTATGTCACGATTCCTATGAATTATTGATGCCACATTCCTTTTTTTATTGCTCTGGGAAGAGACGGGGGGGAGGATGGAAGAAGAGGGGGAGGTGGGGGGTGGGATGGAGATGGTTGGAGCACCTGAGTCTTCTTCCCCCCATCCACCTCCTCACATCCATGCATTTCAATTGTTTCCGCAGTTGTTGCTGCGTCTCCTAGCCAGTTATTTCTGCACATAGTCAAACTTTATCAGCCTTCCCCTCCTGTTAATTGCCTGGTCCTTTGTTTGCCGCGGCACGCATGCGCACTAGGGGCAGGGTGTGGATGGGAGACGCGCCACCTTGCCTGTAAATCAGGATGGAGAGGAGGAGGAGAAGGAGGAGGAGGAGGAGGATGCTTTTCTCCCTTTTTTTTTGTTCGGTTCGCTGTTATTGCGGAAAAGAGATGTTAATGTGGTGTTTGAAGGACTTGTTCTAAAACGAGCCTCTGGATGGCATCTAAATGTAAAGAATTTGATTTGCGATTAGTGTGTGAACTGAGCCGCTCTTCTATAGACAACCATTACCTGCTCAGGGAGATGCGCTTCTTCATGCACACAAACTGCTTCAATAAAACCCAACAGTGGAAAATTTACCAACTCTATGAATGCAACCAGAATTCCATCTATGAATTCCAAATTTAGTGAAACCCATTTCAATAAAAATCCTAAATACATCCATTTTATTTTATTTTAACTGCATTTTTTCCAATTTCATTTAATTTCATGCTTATCTGAATTAAAATATGGCTAATAACTTTTTTATATAACTTGTAAATATTCATCTTTTAAATATACTGTATTTTAAATTGTTTTTATTTTTATTTGTTAGCCATTTTCAAAAATCAAATGTTTTTTTTAAACTTTATATTAAGTATTAATTTATTAAGTTTTAATGAAATTTTCTTTTCGCTTGACTTTTTAAAATTTAACTGAAGATATATTTAGGGCCGACCAATAATATTTGATCACTACCTGCAGTATTTCAGCACTAGCCGTGCCTAACACTGCTATCAGTATATTATTTTAGCTAATAAGGTGACCTCCGTGCCCCAGGAGGTATCACCTGAATTCCCAAATAATTGAGAAACTTTTGAAGTACTTCATGTCTTGTTTAGATTGAGCAATTCGGATCCGGTTTTTAACCTTAATATGAGCACATGAACACACCAGACTCAGACATTTTCTGCACGTTAAACAATCAAAAATGATAAATGAGCCATTTTTCATTTCATCATGCATTATGAAAAATTATTAAATGTTTAGTTATGATTATTTTCCACAATTAAAATTTTTACTATGTGAATTTTTAATTATCTTATTATTTAAATCTTGATATCTGGTTCAAACCAATGAACTGTTTTCCTCTTGACATGCTTAATTTCATATATCTATTGTTATATGCATGCACATTGTCATATGATCTGCACCTGGCAAGCTCAACAATGAGCTGTACTATGTGTAAATAAAGCTATAGGAGAAGAGTGAAACCTCATCATTCCAAAGTAAACACACCAGAGATGATGTTTGTTTTTAATTTTTTTGAAATCTCCTTTCCATAAACAACAAGAACCCCTATCAGTTCTTGTTGTGATTCACTTTCAAAAACTTACCATGATAACAGGTGGGTTATCATAGCTTCTCCTCTCTGTGTGGCCCCTGATTGGCTGCTTAACTTCATCTCTAACTGTGTCCATTCACCTGCTTGGATGAAGACATGCAGCAGTGTGATGATGACTCATCGTTCCAGCAGCTGAGGAGTCAGGCGAGCAGACACGCTGCCGTGATACTTCGCTGTCTGGTAACATGGATCGATCTTTTGTGATGCTCTGAATCTGTATAAACTGGATCCAAAGAGGCCGATGTCATGCTACAGATGCTAATTTATCCCTAAAAGCTTGTAGCACTTTTATAAAAAAGGTCAAATTTTTGTTTTAAGCTCCTAAAATTTCCTGTAATTCATTAAGTTTCTTCAGATGATTTGCTTGAGGTCATCATACCAGCTGAACAGTTTGTAGCTACTTTCTATACAGCATGATGTATCATCCTACATTCGGCATCCTGCGTGGTTAGAGCTATTACTCTTATAAGAATTACCTTGCTGGAGATAAAGTCTTGATTTTTTTTTTACGTTTCCTTTGGGATTTTTATTGTCTAACAAATTTCGATTTTGTTAAGTTTTATTTTTCATATCAACAGTTCAACCATTTAATATAGTAGCCATTTTTATTACTGAATGAGTCATGAGGGCTAAAAAGGGCTAAAAACTCACTGCCAGCGCAGAAAAGTCGAGTAGTCTGATCAGGACCACTTCAAAATACTCCAGGAAAGATGAAGGAATATGGAAAGACTCTAGATTTTTGGCCAGTAGTTATAAGAGATGTTAGATGTAACAGGACAATGCAAGAAGCAGAGGTACTAAGAGTGGAAGTACCTGGGGTTTCCTATTCCCCCCCAAAAACCAGGCAGGATGAACAAGAGATGGCAGGAAATATTAATATATGATGCATTGTTTTTGAAAAACCAACGTTAATGATGTTAGATCAAACTAATCAATAAATGTTATCTCTATAGTAGAGGTTTTCAGTCTTAAATCTCATCAAGTGCTAATTAAGCATCCATGAAGAGGGTTTAGAAATAAATGAGTTGATATTTATGGCATTAAAAACTTTTTTTTTCTAACCCCTTGAAGGCTGTTTGGTTGAGTTAGTAAACTCTAAAAACAAACTAACAGTCATATTTTAATATCTGGCTAAATAAAAGCTGTAAAAAGGGGATGGCTTATTCGGAGTATAATTACTGTGGAACCTTTAGTTCCTTAAACTAACATAGTGTTAATGATAGAAGAATAAAAAATTAAAGGAACTTTAGAAATAGTGAAGTTGGTTGAACTTTTAACATGTTTGTATTTACTTTTGAGGCCATGTGCAGAAGTAGGCAACATAAATCTATGCAGCTGATCCAGAAAACACATCTGTATGACTGAGAAGATGTGCGCGACACCGATGCCTGCCATGCCAACATTTCTACCTGTATCTGCTTACTTATACAACCTGAAGGCATGTTTTACTTTGTGCTGCGTTTCTTGTTAAAAGCTGTGCACGCGCATGCTTCTGCAGTCTGAACGGCTTCTTTAAGCTGCTGCTCTCTGCTCCTGTAAGCTCAGCTGAGTGATAAGATCGGAGCTCGACCTCCACTGTTCTTGCTCAATCTCCTTCCTTCCTTTGTGAATTTCTTGGAAACTGACCACTCTTCACAGCCTGTTGTTTAATTCTTGCTAAAGCAATTTGCAGCAGCACCAAGGCAGAAATATGAAGTGTTTACTGTGTTTAATGCTCTTATCACAGTTGACTTTCTTAAACCTGATATGGCTTTGGGCTGCATGTAGCCTTAATGTTTTAGTCTCACTGCTGCACATCGGCCAGTCAGGAATGAGGAACTCTAAGGTTTCAATTTCCTGTTTGAGGAAGCATGACTGTGTATTAAAAGACTGTAAACTTTTTTTTCAATGTTTATTTTGGTGCTGTTAAAGCTGAAGTGCAATCAAAGAGCAGAGGAGGGTTCAAAGATGACTGGTGCTGTGTGACAAATGGAAGAATCAGGTTCTCCAAAGTTTCCTCTTTTCAACAAGTTTTGTTGTTACTTTGCTTTCTGTTAACATCCAAAGGGGATTTATTTTCCAGTTTCAATAAATGACTTCATGCACCATAAATATTGTTGAATTTAAACTGTCAGGCATGAATAGAAATATTTCATCCAGAGCTGTAAAGGACTTTTCACCTTCTTACATATCTATCTGTACTTTAATGATTTAGATTCAGATAATCAGACACAGAGAAAAATGCACTAAATACATGTGCACTCCATCATTCCTCTCGAAAAATGCCTTGCAGCAAGCCACACTGAATGTGTGTAGGATCTTTTAATGCATTAAGACAGGTCCACTCTTATTTTGAAATGCGGCTGATCCACCTTACTTACCCCATCACTGACTTCCTGTCTATATCATCTTTTTTTTAGAAATTGATGAACTTTACTCCATCGTCATTCAAAATTAGACCCCACCCTATCTCTGATAGATGAGGGAGGGAGAGCTGTCTGTCATGCCGCAGCTCAGCTGATAGAAATTACTGCATCAACTACAATGGCTTCTATTTGCAATGGCAAAGAAAGCAAACTTAAGGCAGATTCTGTGATGGGTTACAAGTTGTGCACCCATTCATAGTAGAAATGGCTATGAATATTAATTACTGACAGTGAGTCTGAAATAAACCTACAGTAGAAGAACTTTGGACAATTCCTTTCAGAGTATTGTTAAAAAAAAATCACAATATCTGAACTTTTTCAACCATTCAATTTAATGTTATGTAAAAACATTTTAATGGGTTTCCATTTAAAATTTGATTGTTCTATTTAGAGATTCAAAGATAGACCTCATG